GGGGGCTTGGGCGGGGGCGGGGCGGTTCGGCAAGGGACGAGACAGACGCATTGCGTTTAGCAACAAAATCCTCAGTTACGTGATAAAGTCGATAATGTAATACAAATACATAAACGGCCCGACGGGTAAATACATAAACTATTGAAATAATTAGAACGAGACGAGTAACATCGAGACAAAATCAGCAATCTCTCATACATGAAAGTCCGCGAATCGATTAAGCAAGAGAATATGATCTGGCATATTCATCCCACATTCAGTAACTTGATCTTCGAATTAAAAAACAACATTGCAAATATCATTTTAAAGTAGTGCGACGTACAAAAACTTACGAAAAGAGGAGGATGATGCGATTATTAAATTGTAGCGCTCCGTAGTGTACTGTCATTACGGGGCAGTAGAGTTTCCGGTGTAGGCGATAAACGTCTGATAAGGGTCTGTATTATGGGTCAGTTTTGTTCGACTACATGCTTCAAGTATCAGAATGTAACATCTGCATTGATTTATTTTCATTTTTTAGTTAAAGGAAAAAAACAACAGATAGTCACTTGAATTTTTTAAAAGACGATTACAGTAAAACAATATAACACTTTCTTCACGAAAAGTTAACAATTGATAAACGACTGACAAATCTACTTTTTGAACCAGGCAAAAAATGCAATTTGGGGTGGAGTGCAATGATTGGGTGTCTTGCGTGAAGATGCGATGACCCTTTGCCAACTCTGTGCCCGCCGCCGGCGCCGCCCGTGCATCCGCCCAGGCGAAGGGAGAAGAGAGATTTCCCTCGCGACGTCGGGTGGAGACATGGAGACACCCTGGCCGGCCTACGGCCTGGCCACCCGCCCGACGTTCGGAGGCCCTCGGCACAGGATTTACATCGAAGCTGCATGTGGCCTCACAGCACTGCCGCCGGCTGGCCTTTTCGGATCTCCACCCCGCCCCGTCCCGCCTCGCCCCGCGCCGCTCAGTTCCGTCTCGCTCCGATCGCTCCCGCTCCCCTATCCCGTCCTCACGGACCGCACTCCTACCTTCCTTCTCTCCCACTCCCCTTCATCTTCCACCCTCAAGGAATCCCCTCCTTTCAGACCCTGTTCCCCTCCGACCGACTCCGCGCCTTTGCGTCCCTGCGACTCTCCGATCAGCCACGCCACATCACTTCTGTCCTGCCACAACTTGCCTTTCCCACTCAATCCCTCTCTGATGTCGTTCCGTCCATACTGCCCCCCCCCCTTCGTCTCGCCTTTCCGTTCTTATTTAAACTTACTTCCTCTGTCTCAGTCCAGAACGTGTCCCCTTCCTACCTGCCCGTCCCTCGCTTCCCCGTCTTGTCGTATCCCGCCCCACCCCATCGCACCCTTCTTCAGCCACTCCGGACTGTCGACTCTCGCTCCGCTCCGCTCCGCTTCCCGTCCCTCCGAACCCCCCTCACTTGCATCGCTCGCTTCACTTTTTTGTTCCGGAACGTTCCGCATCACCCTACACAGCCGCGCTCCATTCGCTCTCTACTCATTCCTCTCGGTCTCGACCGCTCTGTCCCACTCGCAGCGCTGCCCCTTTGTCACCAAGCTGCCTCCTCCCGCCCTTTCCGCTTCGCTGATTGATTACCACTAATTCCTGGCGGGGCAACGGCTCAGGTCATTAGTCCCGTAAGTGTAGTGCGCTTTTACTCGGGAGGTGGCGGGATCTTGCTCCACTGCACGGGGAGACCTGGCGCCGACCTACCGTCGGCTAGCGGAGTTTTCGCCAACCAGGTATCTCTCATCAGTGCGGCACCGCCGCGGCCGAGACATGCTCCCGATCAGTCTCACGGCACGTGTGGTAGTGTAGTGCATGCAAGTGTAAGTAATTAAGTAAGGGGTAGGATAGGACGAGCAAGAGGAAGGAAAGATCCTGCGCGGTCCGTGGCCCGTTTGTTAGGGTTCTGCTTCGGCATTCGCCTGGTGTTGATCGGAGAAACCACGGAAAGCTATCGATCAGAGCAGCCAACCTCTACCAGCGGCTGAACTCGTAGTGTAGCAAGTGTCGAAAATACTGCCACCGACGTGCCTCTATCCTCGGACAGAGTCGCCCCGCTCAGAGGCTCTGCAGTGACACCGGTTGAAGCCCTGAGCGCCCTCTCCCGCCCTCTCCGCTTCGCCCCCCCCTCGCAGCCGTCGCCCTCGCATTAGATGTCGTCTGGAAGGAGCGTTTTTTCACCCCGACCTCCAAGCGCAGGTCGATCGGACGGAGGGTCCCACTAGCAGAACAGAAGGCGGAGCGACGCTTTGAATCGTTGGAGGCTCTTGGGATGTGGAGTCGCATTCAAATTATCTTTGGGTTCTGTGGAGAAACGACTCAAAGGAGTCAAAGTTCAAGCCGACTACGAAAATAATACATTGCTTTCATCATGTTTCTCATTTATTACTCTAATTATGTTTCGTGTAAGTTTCATACTTTTTTTCGGTATGTACAATGAATGTTCTTAAAAACTGTGGAGAAATAAGATTTAATGAGTGAGACACGTAGGAATCTTTTTAAGAGAGCGACTAAAGATTTTCTAATGTGTTAAGAATATTAAATATTTTTTGAAATGTATTTCTTTTTAGAAGTAATAATATTAAAAACATAACTTTAGTTGTGTGTTTGGTATTACAATTATCAGATACTAATACCTAGAAAAACATTTAAAATTAATAATATTTATTGAAATTGTAATAATAAATAGCATATATTGTGTATTCTACAAAACTACTCTATTCTAATGTAATATGAAGAAATTTAAATGTTATTTATTGTGAAAGCAATCTTCTTAATGCTAGACAAGAAACAGAAAATTATCTACTTAGCAAAACAGTTGATAGAAAATTTTAAAATATCGATATTTTGCTTTCTCGTACACGACATAATTGCAGTTTTGTAGTACAATATGATTAGATGTCAAACATGCACAAGGTACTGACCTTGCTATGTTTGCTGGCCGAATATCAGAATTTAATATATATGATTAAATTTATTATATATTATTAAATAATTAAATATTATATATTATATATGAAATAATTTAATATATATTATATAAAGAGAATTATATGACCAACAGTGACATTATAGCTTTGATGTGTACAAAACATTTGAGTGCCGAAGGATGTAAAAATATGCTTTGGTGTGTAGGATTTCTGATAATGAAATTGAACTTCAAGTTAAAAAGTCTTAATAAGAAAGAATTAATTACAGTAATATCACTGTGAGTTGTGTTTTCCCCCTGAAACTACTGCACTATTTTATTTGAGAGAGTACTTACCCAAAGTGACACAAAAACTCTAAAAATGTTTCGACGACGACGACGACGACAGGAACGGGGGGAGGGCCAGAGGATGGTTTCTGAGAATTGCAAAGAATAAAATATGAAGACGGGAAAGTCGTCTGAGGTAAATATAAAACCCAGGCACCTTAAGCGATATCACTTGCCATACTTTCTACTAAAAGCATAACGCATTTCTTAGAAAAGAAGAGCCATTAGTTCTACGTGACGCGGAAGTTGATTTGAGAGAGCCTGCGGCACAAGGATATGGATCTTCCTCCGGTTTACGAAAAAATGCACAGATTTATTACCTGCAAAAATTTAGTGATGCAAAAATGCTACCGGCTCTTACGAGTATCGTAACACGAAAAGTTACGAGTATCCGTATTGCGAGTATCCGTATTGAATACGAATATCAAGTTATAAAATAATGGTGTGGTCTTTATCGGTGAAAAACAGGAGGTATAATAATTAGTTTTCGTTACGTCGAAATTATTATTCAAAGTGTCACTTTATTTTGATTTTGGTTTTGATCACTTCAACAATACCATCTCGTACCTTGCTGGGTCTGCAACAAACATATTTATCACTTTTTCTAATCGAATTTCCCTTTTCTACGCAAATGTGACGTTCATCCTTTTGTAATCACTAATTGCTCCTTCCCCGCCTTCCTTCGCAAATGTAATTGTTATTACTATCTTCTTGAAGGAGCTTCTTACCGTTTCATCTTAATTAATTGTGGTTTTAGCATTGTGCTCCATTTTGTGTTTTGAACTCTTGAAATATTTTACACTCATTTTAATTTGCAATTTTAAGGGATAAAGAAAAGATCTAGTTTGAGAAAGATATTAGTTTATACAATAACGGTAGACGAATAATATAGACCTAGTATGACAAAATGGGTTTAAACAGCTATAAATTCTAGATTAATACAGCAGTGATTACGAAATGTGCCACTGTGAGAGCGGCAACGCTGGTAAAATCGGCGATGACTGTAAGGGCGACGGCGACGGTGAGGGCAGCGACGACAGGGAAGGCGGCGATGACAGGGAGGGCGGCGACGACGACAAGGAGGGCGGCGAGGACGACGACAGGGAGGGCGGCGACGACGACAGGGAGGGCGACGAGGACGACGACAGGGAGGGAGGCGACGACCGTGACGTCGACGATGACGGTGAGGGCGGTAACAATGAGGCGTGTGATGTTCCGCTGACCACCCGCCGACCTGAGGCGCTGGCAGCGCGGCGCTGCGCACGCGCGAAAGCGAGGCGCGAGAAGCGCAGAGCGCGGCGTGACGCCCTTCGCGCCAGGAACACGGCTCTCCGGCGGCGCAGTGGCGCCCTCTCTCCTGGCATAGCGAATCAGTTACGAAAAATGCCGATGCGCCTCGGCCCGAGCGAGCGAGTGGGCGAGGGGGCGAGATGGGCTAGTGACCGGCAAGTGGGCTGAACTTAACGTCGGGCGGCGAAGTGGGCGAGTGGCGGAGTGGGCGAGTGGCGAGGGGGCGAGCGGGGGCGAGTGGGCTAGTGGGCGACGTGGGCTAGTCGGGCCGGCTAGTGGGCGGGCGAGTGGCACATTGCTAAGTTGCTAATCCGCATTATTTCATGATGCAATCATCGTGTTGTGCCCGCTCGAAACAAATACGCAACTCAAGCCATGACACATATCGGGTTTTTTTCGCATTAGAAGCTCGACAGTTCGCATAATCCAGGCCTTTTGTGAATGGTATAATACAAAGCGGCTTTTAACAACACGTCAACCGATTCATGGCAACACGTGTCTGCGCATTCGCATTGCGTTTTTACGACCCTCGCTGTAACACAAACCCCCGGTTTCTCTCGCGTTACTCGCTCCGCCGAAGGATTCGCTGCTGCTTCCATCGCGGCCACTGGGGTCAGACACCCTCCCCCCCCCGGCCTCCGGGGCAGCCCAGGTGACGTTGCCTTCGCGTGCCCTCGTCCATTCCGCCGGGCCGCCAGCCCCCACCCACGCTTCCGCCGGAAGGGAAGATCGTAAAACTGAACGCCGCTGAAGCGCCGCGCGGCACGCTCTATCTCCCCGCCATCGCCCCGCATCGCTCCCGCGCGCCCTCGGGGCGCTGCTCGACGCCGCCCCTGGCTGGCGAGCTCTTCATCTTTTACAAATAGCTTACGGAAGCGTGAATAGACGTGACCGAATAGGAAATGCGCACATTTGTCTTTATCTTACGAACCAGGCGAAGGAACGAGAGCGTTCTCTCTTCTCTCTCATCTCTCTCTCTCATCTCTCGTCTCTTCTCTCCTCTCTCTCCTTATTCTCTCAATATCATTTTCTCTTCTCTCTTCCTTTCCTCTTTTTCCTCCTTTTCTCTCTCATTTTTTTTTTTTTTTTTTCTTTTTTTTTTTTTTTTTTTTTTTTTTTTTTTTTTTTTTTTTTTTTTTTTTTTTTTTTTTTTTTTTTTTTTTTTTTTTTTTTTCCCTCTCTCTCTTTCTACTTCTGTTTTAGACTAGAGAAGATGGTGGTTTTTGGTAACAATTTAGCCATGGCAATCGTCCAACACAAATCCCAATAAGCGCGCTACTGCTAATATCAACTTTTTCCCGCATCTGCTGCAAATACACTCAAGGCAAAAATAACAAAATGCAAACGTTGTGAATATAATCGCGATAGTAGGGTAACCAAAAACCCATCACAAGTTGCGCTTGCAAGTGCGACGAAGCTAACTCTGATACGAGGTAATTAGATTTTTTAGTTCCGGGTTTACCCTTCGTCTCCAACATAGGTGTAGCTCTCCTTGGTCTACTTCGAAGAAAGTTGTCTCATAATTGGAGGCAAAACGTATTACTTTCGATAAATTGGATCAACACGTCCGTATAAACATATGATCCAACGGAACATTATATAGAATTTACTATAGTCACAATGTTTTTTAAGGGTCAGATCGCCTTCTGGAGCGTGTACGTCTTAGGCGACCTTGAGTGCGAGAATAATTTATCGCGTTTCGATCACGGAATCAAGATCGTGTGGTATCGCACCGCTTTCTGGGATACTAATATTACTGTCTCTACTGAACTTATACTGCGATTTATTAATTACTTCCCAGGTATCAGCTGTTTGAGCGGTTCATCAATGCGGCGGAGCATAACGTCGAGACGTGGTGACGTTCAAGCTCCTATTGCGATGACAGCTGTTCAAACAGCAATATCTGCCAGGGGCTAGAGTTGCGACAAATCCGCATTATAGGCCTAATTTAACATTTCTGCGTGATTCATTATAGAACAACAAAGTCTCAGCATCCAGAATTGTCAATTGAAAATGGCCCAGTCTTTCTAAAACGAATTCCGAAAAAACAGTAAATTTGGTTTCTTTTGTTAAAGTCACATACCTCCCGCGTTAAAACATTCAAACATACGCACTAATGAACCTAGCGGTTGGTACTGTGCCTGAAAACTTCAATGAAGGTCAAACACTAAGGGCTTCACATACGCAAATGTTCTTCTATCGCTGGTTGAGATTCTTCGGTCGTGCTCGGTCTCCCCGCCTGCAGTGGCTGCTTGGCAGCTCGGCATCCTCGCAACTTCGTGGCGGCCCATTCTTGGCCGCTCGCGCTTAGCAGTGGCTGCCGTCTGTTGATTCCCGCAACTGGGCTCGTGTGCACGCCGCCGCGCTCGAGCGCCTTGAGCCCTGACACGGCCCGGCCCCGTCGCATGCGCGCCCCCCTTCTCTGATCTCCTAATCCTCGACGTCGCGTTCCACCCTCCCCCACCCCCTGGGCTCCTCAAGCTCCCCACATCTCACGGACATGCGTGGAGCTCTCAATAAAATTGCTTGTGGAGCAACACCAAAATGCTACTAACTCTGTACGCGCTTAGGTGCAGAAAACGTAAATCTAGCATTAGCGATGATGCAAGGCGTTACATCTTATACGCAGTAAATATTCGCATCGTGCCTACTACGCATATCCGTTATTGAGTAAACATTATTATCTTTTGAATAACACTTCATGGCTTAGCTTGTTTTCGCCATTATGCACTTTTGAATCCGTTGCTCCATATATTGAAAGTATATCAGAGAACTTTCTATTTTATCGAACTGCCTATTTGAGGACGTTTCAATGTCAAATTATGGGCTATCAATAGTTCCGATTTGCAGGGAATGCAATGAGAGACATACCTTCTGCATGCATGAGCGCCCATGCATCTGCTAGACCCTCGAATTTATCCAAGTAAAGTAGAGATAGTCATCTTAATATGTAAGCAATAAATTAGCCTAGATATTAGGCATTGAAAACTTGCAACATTCTGTCTGCAACTAAAATATATTTGATTAAATCAATGACTTAAACAGGCATTTTAAACCTTACTATTACAAGGTTTGGGTGTAATCTGATCAATAAAAGCGGTCATATAGGCAATATATATTATTTTTCAGAGAAGTCACGTTATTTTTACAGTTTTCCATTTCCACTTACTATCATTAGCAATTCTTTGGCGTTTTTCGGTCCCCGACACATTCAACTCGCATGGCTCTTGATGCATCGCAGATGGGAAATTTACTATTATCTCACACGCCTCTTGGCCTATCTCAGAAGTCGTACCATTACATCTAGCAACGCTCTCTCGACGCACGCCAGTCGTTTCTGCCGTTCCTGAGTGCACAAGAGATTTTCTTCACGTTCTTGACTGGACCGACTCTTATTCAATTATTATCCCATCCACGGTCAGAAAGTACGGCCACTGAAGTAATTCAAAGCACTCCCATGTACCCTCACGACTCTCCTTGCGGCCATCCTGACTCTATCAGCCGCTTTCTCGGCGGTCAATTCCTCACCTTACAGTCGCCCCGGCCACATCTCCCGCCGGCCACTCGCCCACGCCGTCTCGCCGGCGCGAACTCCCCCGATCCGTCGAACGTTCGCCACTCCTCACTTAGAATTGGCCCCGCCGAGACTCCGCTCCACCGCAAACCTTCCTCGCTTCCGCCCCCACTCCCGCTCCGCCAGTGGCCGCCACTTGACCGGCCCATCTCTCTTGCTCCGCTCCACACCGCAATTTCTACCCCTCGCTCCCGCCTTGCGTCTTCTAGTCGTACCAACTCCGTCCCCATCTCTAGGCCTCCGCGCCCACTCCACGGCGAAGTTCTCCTACTACCCCACCGCTCACGCCTTCCCTCCCATCCACCCGTTATCTCCCCCGCCCGCCATCGCCGTAACACCAGCCCTCTCACCAACACCTCCCACCAGCTTCCACTGTGCGCCCCGCTGCCCTCGTCATCCCACGCGCTTAGATACGTTGTCTCTGCCCATCCACTCCGACTTGGACCTGGCTTCCACTCCTGTTCCGTCCCCCCGACACTCTATTTCTCCTTCTCAGCGTCGCTCCAGCCTGGAATAACTGCGGCCGCCTCTTTGGTTGCCGACACTCGGCCGCCCGCCCTCGCCAACCGCCGCTCCTCCCGCCCCCCCCGCCGCGGCGGCGACCGGGCTCCCAATATATCCAGGAACCCCTCCCCGAGAAAGGCCGCGCCTCAATTTCGCGCGATCCAGGGGCAGGCCGGCGCGGTGGAGGGCGGGAGCGGGCGCGGGCGGGGCGCTCTTCAGTCGCCGTCGCGGCGCGCGCCGTCGCCCATCGATCCACGCCAGACAGCGGAAACGGAAACCCATTAGCCCCCGCTGCACCGGGCGCCGCCACTCGGAAGGCGTAAGCGCGGATTTGGACGGCCACGGGTGGCGCGGGGCGGGGCGGGGCGGCGCGGGGCAAATTGTATTTGTTCAACTGCTCACTTACAAGCCGCGGGAAACCGCCCCTTGCTGGAACAACGGGCGGCACGCGATAGCCAAGGAATCGAGTGTGTGATGGTTTGTGTCCTTTTGATGCAATTGCATTAATCGAGAATATCGTTTATACCGAAAAAAAATTAATAAATGACACGTCTGGGTGGTTTGAAACATACATGTAGCGAGGTGTGGAGAGGGGAGAGAGGTGGAGGGGAAAGACAAAATTGTATCTGCTTAACTACTCGCTTACAAGGCCCCGAGAACACTTTGCTGAATAAATGAAAGGCACACGATACTACAAGGAATAAGTGTATTATGATTTATGGTTTTTAATGTAATGTTGCCATTGAATGATCGTATTAAATCTCTTTCTGTTCGGCAAAACTCTCTTAAATTACTTCAATGTGTCAACAATGTGAATATGTCTGCTGTGTTGATATTTTTAAAAAATCATACGAATGTGAATGTGAATATTACGATTTTTGGTTTTGATATTTGTTTAATGCAAAGGTGTACGGGAAACAATATTCTCAATTGTTTCTAGAGCTTTTTGTTTCGTTCTGCCTTTTCCATGGCCGTCTGAAAGGTCTTCGCACTCATCATTGAGATCATAATGGTTATATCGCGGAAGTAGGAAACTCTAATGTGGGTCTTCTCGCTTTTGCTGTAAATGAGTAGGAAATATAAAATGGTAATTGAAGAAGGATTTTCCAAAATTAGATAAGTATTTGATTATTATATTTGTCCTCACTTAAGAGGAGAATAATCAACGTAATGATCTTTTCTGTTTAAAAATAATGGTTAAAGGAGGCAACGACGTCTTATTTAAAATAATTTTATGTTAGTACGTAAATGAGGATTGATTTTGGAATACATAAAGATACAAATGTGTTTCTTTACATTATATATTTTTCGGTTCATATCTTCATTGTTTGTAAGCAAAGTTTATTTATTTGAAACACAAAACGAGGAAAGATAGTGAAAGTAGTAAATAAATTCGTAAATCTTCAAAAATATCTGAAATTGTAAATACTGTCAAATACATTTCTTCGCTATGGTTATATTATCAGCGTAAACGTCTCGGCATATTTTGTAACTTCAGAATTTTCCCTAAATTTTTGAGTCTTTTACTTATCTCAGGAAACACCACTGTTATTTTCAAATTACTTTGATGATCCGATTAATTGTAGATTAATATGCTACTCTTTAGTGTGGGCTTGTGAGTGCTAAGTAAGGATTAAAAATGAAACTCAACCGGAGAAATTTCCTCTTGAAAGCTATTTTTTAAATGTTAAACTATCTACGTCGCTAGTCTAAAAATCCGTCATTATCGTCCGATAAGATGAACTATGCATCTCAGTTTTAAAGAAATTCAATGTTCATTGGCTTGCCTCACACCCCTGGCACGGCCACCTGCTATAGTTCTTTTCGACGTAGAGAACATGAAGTTGCCCTTCTCAATTCGATTTAAGCTCAGCTATGTCAGACCACAGAGTCGAACTTCACGACATGGAAGGTTCAACAGAAGAAAAATAGTCCATAGTGGACCACATCCAGTCAAAGATTTGAAGGAGAAATAAATGCCACTGAGATAATAAATTAAATAACCGAAAATGTTTGCATTATTGTGTCTATTGCCTCTATGTTTACTCGCAAATACAAATAATTTTGTTAACTTCATGCTTAATTCACTTTCTTAATTAACTGCCTTCTTATTCACTTATATTACGGCAATGTTTAATTTCGTATTCTTGGAAAATACGTAATGAAGCTAACTATTTACTCATTAATAACTGATGTTATTGTAATCGAAAAGAGCTGGGGCAAAAGTGCTTTATCTCCATAAATTTTAATTAGGAATTCTTCTTAATTTATTGCATTCAATTAGTATGAGCCAGAAAAAATTCGTTACTGTCGTTCAACGTTGTTGAGTCCGGTTATATACTGAGTTTTAAAGGGGAATCCTAAAGTTGAGAGAATTTAAAGCCAGAACGTTTAAACTGTGTTTACTGTGGCATTTGCAATAATACGATAATCATTTGCATTCTTATGTATTCAGAGTAGATAGCATCTCACAATAATCCTTAAAAGTATTTCACGTAAGTTTATTTTGTGTAATTTACAGAAACGTTAATTAATTTTTATTAATTCCATCATCAAACACGCCTCGTATTATCTGCGTCTAGCCTGTTTGGGTACTTCGTCTCATTGAAATGAAAACAGAAATTCAATTTACTTTGCGTAATGCAGCGCGGCGTTGTAAATCTCTATCTCGTTTTCCGCGCCATTTCGCTGACCTTTATTCGGAGCGGAGGTGAGCCTGTTTCGGAGAGGAACGTTTGCTTCCGTGAAAGGCCTTCGCTTTTCGCTTGCGTAAACAGGATGCAGAAAGATCCCGCCCGCCCCGGGCTGGCTGGTGATGCGTGGAAGGCAACACGTCAAACACACAGGATTTCCACCCCAACGGTTTTAAACTTGGGGTTTGCAATCAGGAAGTAAAGGTTTGCGTGCTGAGCGTGGCGGATTTTCCACAACAGTGCAGTAGCTCGCTCGGAGCTTTTCCTACTCTAGTTTAATACAACCCGACAAATGCAGGTAGAAACTATTCATCTCAAGAACAGTTATTCTGGCTTGTAGCTCGCAACAAATTCTATATACTAAGCCGTCACTCTTTACTCGGCATCAAAAGATTGTTTCTTCAGTCATATATGTGCATAACAGTTATTGGTAGAAAAATATATTTTTCAACAGATTTTCTCCCTACGTTTCTTGTTGAAATCAATTTGATCAACATAAATTCTTTCAACATACTTCTTCACAGCGGAAAATTGCCAACATAAAACGTCCTAAAACCACTCTGTTAATAACGAAATACAGAATACTGTACTGTATTGTGATAAGGGACTTAATGCTACTGCTTAGATGATAATCCT